CAGACCGCCTGCCCAGCACGATATCCAGCGAACCTGCTACTCTGAATCTTGTCCATTCCGGCAGCCGCAACAACTGTAATAAATGTATACATATGTATGAAAAAATAAAAAATGTTTAAGCATTGCCGCAGAAATTTTACATTTAATGGTAGTTTGTAATAGGCGGCATACACCGTGTGTCTGACTCCTGAGTCGGTTTGGATATGTTTGTGAAAATAAATATGTTTAGTTACACCGACATGACTCTGAGTAATTCATCTGTGTTTAGTCGAAGGGGAGTCAACACGTATACAAATAACACGCGAATCAGACGCACTGTGTATGTCGCCTATAAGATTTGAAAACCTATTGTCAGTTTCGAAAGAAAGATTCAATAAATAATTACATAGCATACAAAAAAAAATTTTAATATCTAGTATGTTTCAGCCAAGGCGAATTTATACAAGGTGTGAAACTTATAAACATTTTTCTTATTGTTTTCACTATTCGATAGGCTGTGGTGTAGGGGTTAGCAGTGCGCGCGCGCTACCACTCCGCAGGGCCTAGGTTTAAGCCCTGGTCAAAACTGTAGGTCCCTCCGCGTTGTGTCCTGACCTGATCTTTACAAAACATTTACATTTATTTATTTATTTATTTGGGGTATTCAGCCTGCCTGGTTATTAAGTTATCTGGTTACATTTTTTACTCAGTTTACAACAAAAAACACCAGAGAATATTAATTTTTAAGCAGATAACCTCATAATTCTACAATATCTGCTATATTACTAAATGCATATGTACATATAAAGTATATGTGTATGAGAGTACAACGTTGTGTTCATGATGCGATTGTAAAGTTTATCCATCTTCTAATTTACTAGTGTTTTCATTGGCCGTCATAGCGAATGTTTCCTTAAAGTGATAGTTGAATTCGACTGGTTTTTGCCAGAAAGCGTACACAATAGCTAATCTGCCGAACAGAGCCAACAGCAATGTAAAGGCCACATTCATCTGTAAAATAAATTTGTAGAAAAATTACATCAACCTACTCGATTTTGTGTAAATATTATTTCAGGTAAATAGTAAATTTCTTCGGGCACATTCCTTCATTTCAGACTTTTCACCTACAAAACACCGCTCTTAACCATGAACTGANGAATGCATATGTACATATAAAGTATATGTGTATGAGAGTACAACGTTGTGTTCATGATGAGATTGTAAAGTTTATCCATCTTCTAATTTACTAGTGTTTTCATTGGCCGTCATAGCGAATGTTTCCTTAGAGTGATAGTTGAATTCGACTGGTTTTTGCCAGAAAGCGTACACAATAGCTAATCTGCCGAACAGAGCCAAAAGCAATGTAAAGGCCACATTCATCTGTAAAATAAATTTGTAGAAAAATTACATCAACCTACTCGATTTTGTGTAAATATTATTTCAGGCAAATAGTAAATTTCTTCGGGCACATTCCTTCATTTCAGACTTTTCACCT